CATCATTGTCTTCGTATAAAATTGTGGGTCTTTTCTCACATTTCAAACCATATTTTTCTCGAATAAAATGAATTATTGATCTCAACCATACGCATTCCCTACTTACTTCATGAATATCTATTATCTCAGCATGATTTGAAAAGGTACAAACAATAGATTGCTTTGTAGAGTACCATGATATGACAGTACCTCCACATGTAAACACGTATCTGATTTGAGATCTAGCTTTATGGAGATCAGATAAATAACCTGCATCTGCATAACCAACAAGATCTGCACTATCTTTGTTAGCATAAAACAATCCCGTATCAACAGTTCCCTTTAAATATTACAATATATGCTTAATCCCGTTCCAATGTCTCAGTGTAGGAGAAGAACTATATCTTGCAAGTAAATTAACAGAAAATGCTATGTCATGCATTGTAGGATTAGCAAGATACATTAGTGTACCAATTGCACTGAGATAGGGTACTTCGGGACCAAGGAGTTCCTCGTCCTCTTCTGGAGGTTGGAACAAATTCTTATTCACTTCAAGTGATCGAACAACCATTGGTGTACTCAATGGGTGCACTTTGTCCATGTAAAAGCGTTTTAAGACCCTTTTTGTATAGGCAGATTGATGGATAAAGATTCCGTCTGCTAAATGTTCAATTTGCAGACCAAGACAAAGTTTTGTCTTTCCAAGATCTTTCATCTCAAATTCTTTTTGGAGCTCTTCTGGAGTTCCAACAAGATTTATGTCATCAACATAAGTAACAAGTATAACAAATTCTGAAGCCATTTTCTTTATAAAAATATATGAACAAATAACATCATTTAGGTAACCCTCTTTCAACAAAGATTCACTAAGGCGATTATACCATATGCGCCCAGATTGCTTTAAATCGTACAAAGATCTTTGTAATCTGATTGAGTACATTTCCAGAGATTTTGAATATGCTTCATGCATTTTAAATCCTTCAGGGATTTTCATGTAAATTTCATTATCAAGTGACCCGTACAGATAAGTTGTAACCACATCCATTAGATGTATTTCAAGCCTTTCACGTAAGGCTAAATAGATGAGATATCGAAATGTTATGGCATCCATAACGGGTGAATATGTTTCTTTATAATCGACTCCAGGTTGTTGTGAGAATCCTTTTGCGACGAGGCGAGCCTTGTATCTTTCAACTTCATTTTTATCATTCCATTTTCGTACAAAAACCCATTTATGACCAACTGGCTTTATACCAGTAGGTGTTTGGACTACTGGTCCAAAGACCACTCTTTTAGCAAGTGACTTCAATTCCGATTGAATTGACTCTTGCCATTTTGGCCAATCAGATCTTTGTCGACATTCTTCGACAAATCGGGGTTCAAGATTCTCACTATCTTGCATAATGTTAAGTGCAACATTATATGCAAAAATATTATCCACCACTATTTCAGATCGATTTAAATTAATCCCATCACGAGTAGAACTTATTAAAAGTTCCTCACTCATTTGAGTCTCGGGTTCATTGATTTCTTCAGGAATCTCAGAACTAATCAGATCTTGGGTTTCTTCAGGAGATCCCTTCATAGTATCATTTTGATCATTTGTCGATTTTCTTTTTCTAGGACTTCGATCCTTAAAACCCAAAGGCCTACCGCGTTTCAGGTATGCTTTAGGTTCACTAGCTCTTATGCTAGTAGATGGTCCTGCTGGGACATCAATTCGGATAGGCACATTCTCTGCAGGGATATGTGACTTAGTTATTCTTTTCAAATCAGTAAATGTGTCTGGAGTTTGATTTGCTATATTCTGTAAATAGATGATCTTATGGACCTCCTGATTATATATAGGGGTACATGGATCAAAATGAGATAATGATGAAACTTTTCACATAATTTCTCCTTTGATTTTTTTTTCTCTCTCCCTAATTGTAGGAAATTTATTTCATCAAATCGACAATCTGCAAATCGAGCAGTAAATAAATCTCCCTTCAATGGTTCAAGATAGCGAATAATAGAGGGTGATTCAAACCCAATATATATTCCTAACCTTCTTTGGGGGCCCATCTTACTGCGCTGTAGTGGTGCTACTAGCACATATACAACACATCTAAAAATTCGTAGATGGGTAATATTTGGTTCATGACTAAAAACTAATTATGACGGAGAATATTTATTATAATGTGTCGGTCTGAGACGAGTAAGTGATGATGCATGCAAGATAGCATAGCCCCAAACAGTAGTGAGCAATTTTATTTTCATAAGTAGTGGTCTTACTATCAATTGCAGGCTTTTAATAAATGACTTTGCAAGGCCGTTTTGAGTATGAACATAAGCTACATGATGTTCAACTTTTATCCCAACTGATAAACAATAATCATCAAAAGCTTGAGATGAGAATTCTCCAGCATTATCAAGGCGAATAGCCTTTATAGGATAATATGGGAATTGTGCCCTTAATAGAATTATTTGGGCTAATAGCTTTACAAACGCCAGGTTGCGAGATGATAGTAGGCACACATGAAACCATCTTGAAGATGCATCTATTAGGACCATAAAATATCTAAACAACCCACTTGGTGGGTGAATAGGTCCACATATATTCCCATGTATACGTTCTAAAAAGGCAAGGGATTCAATGCCAACCTTAATTGGTGATGGCCTAGTGATCATTTTGCCTTGATAACAAGCATCACAAGAAAATTCATTATTTGTAAGAATCTTCAGGTTCTTTAATGGATGCCCATTCGAATTTTTAGTAATTCGTCTCATCATTATTGATCCAGGATGGCCCAAACGGCCATGCCAAAGCACAAAAATATTTGAATCAGTAAACTTCTGGTTTATGATAGAGTGTGCTTCAATTGTACTAATCTTTGAATAGTATAAGCCAGAAGATAGAGTTGGTAACTTTTCTACAATGTACTTCTGGCCAGAAATATTCTTTGTAATACAAAGATATTCCATATTCATTTCATCTATTATCTCAACATGATACCCATTTTGGCGGATATCTATAAAACTCAATAAGTTTCTTCGGAACTTGGAGGAGAATAATGCATAATGCATTATCTATAATAAGTTTTGTTCCCTTAGACAGAAATATAGTGGCTCTTCCGGAGCCTTCAATCAAACTTATATTACCAGAAATTGTTGAAACATTTGCTTTTTCCTTATGCAAATAAGAAAAGTATTTCTCATCTTTGAATATGGCATGGGTTGTTCCACTATCAATTACACAAATATCTTCATGATTGGTCTTTGATCCAAACATAATTTGAGGATTATCCATATTCTTCAAAATGACATAAACAATATGATAGTAAACATCATTGTCAAAGCATAACTTTTATTTATGTACAACAATTACATAACCATACTATTTATTACAAACAACAAAAATTAAAATATTTACATTTATACAGATTTATCACCGATTACATGACTTATTTCTCCTTCCGGGAGTGCAATATAATCAGCTACATCCAAATGAATGAAGTCTAAATTATCTTCAGAAATAAAATTTGCTTCAACATTTTTCTCTGTCTTATTCAGGGAGGCTTGATACAACTCAAACAAGTGCTTTGGCGTACGACATGTACGTGACCAATGCCCATTTCCTCCACTTCTATAACATGCATTTTCTGCCTTTGCTGTTTGCACCGTTTTATGCTTTTGTTCCTTCCTTTTCCACTGCTGGTGGTGAGGAGGGTTCTTTGGTACATTATTATTACCATGATTAGAGTTTCTTTCCCGACCACGGCCATGACCACGACTGGGGCCACGTCCTCTTCCACGCTTAGCTTGGTGGAAGTTCGTCTCATTCACTTCAGGGAATGGACAAAACCAGTAGGCCGGCTTTCATGGTTTTTCATTAATAGCTCATTATGTTGCTCGGCTATAAGAAGATGTGAGATAAGTTCAGAATACTTTTTGAATTCCATCTCTCGATATTGCTGATGCAGGAGTATATTCGAGGCATGAAAAGCGGAGAAAGTTTTCTCCAACATATCATGATTAGTAATATTATCACCACATAATTTTCAATTGGGAAATAATTTTGAACATAGCAGAATTATATTCACTGATAGATTTAAAATCTTGTAGCCTTAGATGAGTCCAATCATAACGTGCCCGTGGAAGAACAACTATCTTCAGGTGATCATATCTATCTTTCAAATTATTCCACAGTATGACTGGATCTTTAATAGTGAGATATTCCATTTTCAAGCCTTCATCAATGTGATGACGTAGGAATATCATTGCTTTGGCACGGTCTTGATTTGATGCTTGATTTTTGTCCATGATGGTGTCTGCTAGACCCATCGCATCAAGATGAATTTCAGCATCAAACACCCAGGACATGTAGCTTTTGCCCGATATATCCAAGGCTACAAACTCAAGTTTAGAAATATTTGACATTATTTATAAAAAAAAAGTTCGTACCTTTATACTTTCAAAGTATTTGCTCGAGATGGCAGAGTCTCGTGCTGATAACGTGTTATAAAATAAAGGTTGTAAAGTAAAGACAAGTGTAGAGAGAAACTGATATATTATTCAACTTGAAACTGATGTACATAATGAATTGAATTCTCCTCTACTTATAGAGGAAAGGAAGCTGCTACTGCAAGCTGCTACTGTACTAGATATAGATAATCTTGTACCAGGGGTAATATTTATCCATAACGGAGTACCGAAATGATAAGTTTCTTCGGTTGGCTTATTTCCAATAAAGTACTAAATATATAAACATATTTATGGCGGAGTCTCATATGAATAAGTTTCTTCAAGAAGTTTATTTATAACAGAGTACTAAATTAACATCCATAATATAATATATTCATTACATAATTTACATTTTTACAATTTTTCATAGATTTTATTTTTGTCAATTGGATTGTCCAAGTTTTAAACTGTGAAAAAGTGAGACATCATTTTCTCATCATAAGTGAGCCGGGTCGAACAGGCTTTGACTGGCAGCTCCTAGTCAATGCCTGAAAATTGCTCCCATTTAAGGAAAGGAACAATCATTATTCAATTACCTTCAGTTTAAACTTTTTCCGGCCACTGTACTTTTTTGCATCTTTCTTTTTTCACTACATCGAATCGAATATGTGTGTGATTATTTATAGGGTTTATTAATAAGAACTTCACTTTCCCCTTTGTGTTCTCTCTTCGATCCGAAAAATGGCGAATGTTTCTCATCAAATGCGACTCTCCTCTACTCTACTGAGGCGTTTACAGCAAAGAGTAACAGCAGTGAATTCAACTTCTTCTAGGAATTTTACCACAACCGAAGGTCACCGTCCCACCATTGTTCACAAACGTAGTCTTGACATTCTTCACGATCCATGGTTTAACAAGGTACTAAATCAAACAGTAAATTATTCCCTATTCTGTTTCATGAAATATTGAATCTGAATTTACCAGATCCATCATTGCTTTTCAAGTGTTTTTTTTTTGGTTTAAAATCAGTAGCTCAACAATTTGCATGCATATTCTCGTTATTTGGTTTGTAAAATGAGTTCCTGTCTTACTTAATTCTTTTAGTGGGTTAGTTGATTTATTTGTTTTTGAAATCTCATGATCTGTAAATTGTTATTATTCATTTTTTGATTAGAAACAATTGATCAGTTAATACTGTGCCCAAACATTGACTCAAATTTCAATTCTAGATGTTAAGAGGATTAGAAGGGGCATACTTTTGCTAAAAATGTACTCTTTTGTTGCACCTGTACCGTTTTAGCAATACACTCTTAGTTCGGTTTTATTTGTAGAAATACTTTCTACCTCCTTAAAAGAACCAACTCAAATTTGTTGATGTTTAGGCATGACTTTTGGTTATGGATGCTTCTTATGTTGATGATAGGAAAAAATCGGTGAATTATCTTCTCAAGGTTCTGTATAACTCTGCGCACCAATGCTTAGGATGGTAAATCACCTAGTGTTTTATGCCTCTACTAGGATCTGGACTTGAAACCTTATGGTTCTCCCCCCCTTTATTAACCACTAGCCACACCCTTGGTGCTTGCATTATCCTCCTTATTCAATCTCCAATGCCATTTCAGTTGTAAACTTCCATTATGGCACTTCAAATTCTTGATCCCAATACCCACATTTTTCCTTTTTTTTTTGTAAGATTGATCCATCTAATAAGATAGATAGAAAGAGTTGCTCTATTTGTTTCCATTTCAAAGAAACTCTTCTCAACATGTCCATACGCTTTAAGATTGAATTAAGAGTAGTAGAGGGGGACATGGTGTAACTTGTAAGTGGGAAGCTATGTTGCTCGGACTCTGCGAAAATGTTATCGGGTTCGTGTCGGATCCTCCAAAAATAGTGTATTTTTGGAGGATCCGACACGGGTGCGGCATCATTTTGGAGAGTCCGCGCAACATAGGTGGGAAGAGCATCAACAACACTGTGACTCTTCCCCAACGATAAATATTCTCTGATCCAGTTTGCCAATTTTTTTCTCCATCTTCTCAAGATCCTCATTCCAAATAGTGATGTATTTATGCTTTTCACTCAATAGTAGTCCCAGATATGTCTTAGGAATAGAACCAATGTTGCATTGTAAGATGCTATGAAGTTGATGAATATTTACAACTTAACTGACAAAAAAAGAGAACTTTTTGAAAAATTGATGTGTTGTCCAAAGCGGCCCGACAGTAAGAATTATCCTTAATAACGTAAATATGATGTTCCTCAGTGTCGCAAAAAAATGAAGGTATCGTTTGCATAGAAAATACGACATATTCGCCTTTAAAGGCCAGAGCATCGTCCGGAAAGCCAAAGATCCAATTTGCTTGAACAAACTTATAAAGCATCTTGCTAGTTTCTTCCTTAAAGAAAAAAAGAGAGAGAGGGCCTCCTTGTTTTAGTCCTTGTTGTGAAGGGATGAAACTGTGAACATGTACCATTGATATGAGCACATAACCTTAGAGAGGAGATGCAGAACTGATCCAATTGATCCTTTTGAGACTAAAGCTCGTCTGTCCCAAAAGATTCAACAAGAAGTTCTAGTTTACATGATCGAAAGCTTTCTCGATATCCGATTTGCACTAGTGGGCTAGCAAAGAAGCATCCATGATATTTCTTTTCTATCACTAATAAAAGCCATTGGAGAAGTATTGACTAAATTAGAGATCATCCTTTTGAGCCTTTCCACAAGTACTTTTGATAAAATCTTACGGAAACAACCAATCAAGCTACTGAGTCTAAAGGATTTTAGTACTTTAGCACCATTCCTACGAAATGAGAGCAATATAAGAGGAACAAAGGCTCCTCTAAAAAATTTCAGCATTGTGGAAGTGGTTTGAAGCATTCATTAGATACCCTTTGATGGTAGGCTAGTACATCTTAAAGAAACCTTAGTCAAGCTGCCTGGAGCTTTGCTTGGGTCCCTAGGAAGATTATAAAATGTAATTCCTTAGAAAGTGATTTAGAGGTTCCGGAATGATTATTGTTAGAAAGCACGGGAGAAAATATGTTATTGATATTGGATGATAAATACAATACAAAATGTCCCTATTTATAGCTATACACTACAAGGAGATATTACTCCTCTTCCAATGTGGGACAAGACTACACTATACATATCTATAAACTAACACT